AGAACTAGTCTGAAAAGACACCAATACATAAAGCTCAGTTACCCATTATGATCATGTTGCACTAGTGGCAAGTACCAGGTCTAATGTTAGAAACTAGGGGCTGGGGATTTAGCTCAGTGGTTCCGCCACCTGCTTTGTAAGCACAAGGGCCTGAGTTCGATACCCGGTACCAAGAAATAAACAGATAGATAGATAGATAAGCAAGCAAACAAGCAAGGGCCTGAGTTCGATACCCGGTACCAATCAATCAATCATAAAGTTAGAAACTAAAATTCTGATTTGTGTTACAGAAGCAGCTATCCTTACTCTGGGGGAAATACAGTTTATGCATGTTTGGCTGAGACCTGGGATTGAATCCAGACGCCATCACTTACCAGCAGTGCTCACAAGCTGAGATAGTAACTGAGCTTCCCTAGACTGCTGTGAGGACTTAACACCCAAAGGCCCTGCTCAGGTACACACAAGACCCCTTCCATCAGTGCGCCCAAGCTGAACCCACCAGGAGGGAACCTTCACTTGTGACAGATGCAGCCCTGAGTGGTACACACCTGTCATCCCAGCACTGGGGTGGTGAAGGCAGGAGGATCACAATTCTGACGACAATCTGGGCAGCTCAGTGATACCCTGTCTCTAAATAAAAAGGGCTGGGAATGGGGCTCAGTGCTCTGTGTTCAGCCTCAGTGTCACAAACTAACAAAAAGCTGACTTGTTCTCTCCCTAAAATTCTTCAGAGAAACAGGTACCAAAGGTGGTCTGTGACCTGGAGACATATTCAGCAGGAATGAAACTATTTTCAGAGCACTATTAGGGAACAGTCGTTTTTCCTATTACTGAAACCTGTTTTTCAACTCCACTATACGCTCAGGTCAGTCCTCCTAGAGAGGGTAGATCCTTTATTGGACAAATGCAAGATGAAATAACTTTATCATTAACCAGATCATCATACTGACCATCCCTACGACTGTGATTCAGGCTCCCTTAAATGAGATATTCACTCACCTCTTAATTTTCTGAAGGTTGAGAAGAGAGTGGTGAACCTATGGCAGGTATGTGGCAGCATGGTATCACTGAAAGATCTAAAATGTTTGCCATCACTGATCTAGGACTTTCCTTTTCTAGTCCAATTTGAACCTGTTGTTCCTCAGACAAGAGTTCCTACTGATTTTCATGACTTCTTGGAACCATATTATCTGGACATGAAATTTCTACTAAACTCCACCAAACACTTTGTAAATGTTTCCTTACGTACAGAAACTGAGAGAAAAACACTAGAATGCCACTTTCCAGAACCAGGAAACAGCCTTTCAGAGATAATGGCAGAGACATGGATTTTCAGTTGTTTCATTAACTCTGCATTTAAGAACTAAAAATCCTAAAGTCTGAGTATCTTTTTTGAAATAAGAAGTTTCTCTATTTCACAGGAGTCCTGAAGCCCCCTCCTCACTGATACACAGAAGGTTTTAGAAAAGTAGAAAAATTGGGAAACTATAAGGTACCAGCAATAAAAACACAGACGGGCCTACAACAGGCTTCTTGGTGTAGGGAATGGAATGTCAGCCTAAACCAAACTCACATTCAACAGGGCCTGCAACTGCACTGAAGTGTTTTAGGCATTACTGAGTGATGATGTTCATACAGTCATTCTGGGTGTGTTTCAGATGTAACTGCATTAATGCTGTTTGCCAAATAAACACTATGACAGATCTCTGGAAACAAATGTGAAATCCAGAATGCAAAACACATGTACCAGTTAATCCAATACATTCTCACTCGTTTGACTTTATTAACTTTGTCAAGGTCCACTTCAACCATCCTGAAAGCCACACATCCCACACCTCCTGGGGGGAACAAGGCAAACAGCTGGCAAGTAAAGCACGGCACACTTGTCCAACGAGGAGGAATCCATGCACACTATGTCACATGGGTAGCAGACAGTCATGGTTACCAGAACAATGAGCAGGACAGGTGCTATGGAAGTATAGGTAAAACAAGCATACCGGAAAAAAGTAGAAAAAATAAAGCTAAATGGTTACTTGTGCTCTGTAATGCACACATGTTGGAAGACTTGGGGCATGTATTATAAAATCAAAGAGCTGCTAAGCCTGCGCATAGAAAGCCCACTTCTTATTTACTGACTAATACAAAGATGCTGGCACTTTCAGGTTGGGAGAGAAATCCCTGAAGATTGCTTGGAAGCTCTCTGGAGGTGCTGCTACCACAGCAGTGAGACAGAACAGAGGGCAGCACATGTGTACATATACCCACCTACATGTGCACACGCTATTTGCTGAAACTTCCCAACACTTCCAAATACAGTCTCCACCAAAGCAGAGGGATCAACACATAGCCTTGCCAAATCTGGTCAGGAGACAAGCGCTGGTCAGTGTTAGACCAGTCACTGTCATTCCTCCTTTTATCTTTCAGGCAGCTGTTAGGTAACCAAGGTGCCAGTGTTTGCCAAGGATTCATGGCATCTTCTGTACCACTGAAATGAGCAATGGACCCATCAGCTCTATACGCCACCCTGTGTAATGATTCCTAAGCAGGGTCTAACATACACACATCCATCAGAACCCAGTGCGGCATAAAGCAGGAGACAAGGTACAATATAGAAAGTAGCACCCTAGAAATCTGGGCTGATACCTGGCCCCACTCACCAGTCTCCTTCATATCCCTTCCCTCATTTTAGTTTTTTTTTTTTGTACCAGGGATTGAACTTGGATCCTTGTGCTTGGCAAGGCAGGTACCAGAACCACTGAGCTAAATCTCCAGCCCTCATTTTAGTATTGATTAGGTTAAAAAATAAAAATAAAAGCACAAAACATATAAAGAAAACTGAAAAGATTTGGGACCCAGAATGGTCATTATACATGAAGTAATGTCATAGTTAGAAAATAGAGCTGCAACTTTTTAAAACCAAGTAACTATCACTTGTATAACTCCTGAGATTTTTACGTGAAGGCAGAAGGACTCAGAGGTTCCTGAACTGTGGAGATGGAGATATAATTTCACCTCGAGCTGAAAATATTAAAAAAGGAATCATTTGCAAAACCAAGTTGAAATTTATTTTTTTCATAAAGAAAACTCAAAAATTGTCTTATTTTCCCTCAGCAAAACAAACTACTCCTTCCATAATCTATACTTCATACTCTGGACATAGACACAACGGTGGGTTCAGCTCGTCTTACTTTCACTCAGGGTTAAGCCCCACAAGATTACAAGGCCCAGAAAGAGGCAGCTCCACGGGGGCCACAACACAATCACAACGCCGCGCTGGAGAGACACAGAAGTGACTCAGACAGTGGTGCGTTTTTTTGCATTTACACTCCTGAAATCTGTGGAGCTGGCCAGAGCTCCACTGCTGCTACCTCGTCTTGTTCCTTACCTTTTGGGAACTCACATTCCTGTAAAATGATGCCACAAAATCAATCCGAATTATAAGGGAATCGAGGAAAAACAGCCACTGGAAAGCCAGCGGCTGACCCCGTGGAGCCCTGAAGGGACAGACACTGCTGTTCAGGAGGCAGGCCCAGAAGGTCGTGTGACCTTAGTTAGTGGGACCTAAGCTCACTACCAAACACACAGGAGACGCATTCCAATCCGGGCACCCCATTCCTGAGACTCCGACACACAGGGATGCCATCCAGACACTTCTCTTTTTTGTTACAAAACTATTTTGAGCTATAAAATCAAAGCTGGTTTTTGTTTGTTTGAAAGGGGAGTCTGTTCATCAAGCAGGGGATCCCAACAAAGGGAATTGAGAGATTCTCAAAAACTGTCTCACTCAGGCTCCAAGAAAGCCTCATGAACTACTCTTATGCCTTGAAATAACACATCTACCTACACAGTGGCACACTGTTGCTTTTTCAGTTTTCCAATCCCCTTAGCTAATACTGCATCAGTAATGAGAATTATTGGTACTTTATTCTCCTCTACATGCGACAAGGACCATTATTTTCTCCCTACTACACTACTATTATGACAAATTATAATAAACTCACAGAAAAATTGGCTGAAAATGTGCAACTTTGATTCAAGAAACTGACTGAAATAAAGTTTTCTTTCTAAACTTAAACCTCACAACTGTAGGGCATTTTACTGATAGTGTGTGTTTGTGTGGTACTAGGCAATGAATTTGGGCTGGTATGTGCTAGGCAAACAGTACCACTGAGCTGCATCCCCAGACCTTTTTTTTTTTTTTGAGACAGGGTCTCTCTAAATTGCCCAATATGCTCTTGAATTTGCAGTTCTCCTGCTTCAGCCTCCCAGGTAGCTGAAATTAACAGGTAATTTATAGAAAATATGTGAGCATATTTGACTATAAAAATAAAATATATATAAATAAAAATATAAGAAATTCAATCTTGAGCCCAAATATCTATTACAAACACTTTTTAATAAAGAGAAAAGCTCAGCATATCCTACAGATGAAAATACTGAGTCTTAGGCCAGGGATTTAGCTCAGTGGTGCCACCACCTACCTCACAAGCTCAAGGACCCAAGTTCGATCCCCAGTACCAAAAAAAAAAACAAAAAACTGAGTCTTTTCCTACAGATATTTAAAAGCTAACGATCACACTTGTCATTAATATTTGCTGAAACCTATGTAGCTACTTCCAGATGTAGTCATTTGTCCAGTTCCAAGGTAAAGCATCGGACACAAGAAACAGGGATTAAAATGCTTTGAGCAGTGGTGTTCTGCCCTGTGGTGGTGGGAATGAACACAGGGCCTAATGCACACCCAGCAGACTGAGCTACAATCCCAGATCAGTCACCACTGGAGGAAAAAAAAGACTGTATGCACACAGATAAGATTACACACTTTAATCTGATTGACATGGACAAAGTAGGGAAAACATAAAAGAAATTTAGTTTTAGCTCTGCTTTATGCATAACCAGATGCAATTAAAAATACACTGAGGTTTTAAAAACCACATTTGTCAGAATAGCATGAACCATTCTGTGTGTAATCCAGAGATATGCAATTTGCAGAATAAGAAAATCATAATGGGCAAGAAAAGATTAAAACAAAAGAAAGCACCAGGGTTTGGAGCAGTTCTAGGGTGGGCAGAAAGAATATAAATGCTCTTACTGGCTGCTATGGAAACATGCTGATGAGGATTGGTCCATGTATTACAATTCTCTCTTTAAACATACTTCTTTGGAAAAGCGGCAACATCAGCTGGGATACAGCTGTCCTTTTAGACACCCAGCTTATTGGCCTGGGTGAGAACAACTTTGAGAACGGGCATGAAAGCAGAGGTCTCACTGAAGTTGCTGGTGCTAACTATGTGGGTATGGATGGTCAAACCTTCTGAGTAGTTTCGCGTTTCGATGCTTCTTGCAATGTTGTGTAAACCACTGATGATTGTTGGTGAAAGCTGAAATAAAGGTGCAACAAAGAGAACAATTAAGGGAGAACTTCCCATGAGACCTTTTATATACATTAAATCCAGATATTTAAATCGTTTGAAATAAACATTGAAAAAATGTATAAACAATTGAGTGTTTCTAGAAATAAGTTTTAGACCAAGCAGTAAGTTTCAAAGTAGAACAATGACAAAATGATTTATGTAACGAAGTTATTTATTATGCACATCTATAAATAAGGTATTTTCTCATAGAAAAGCAGCCAGATTTCCTCCAAGCTGAAATGCTAATATTTCTCTCAACATTTTAATTTTTCAATTATTTTAGACAGAGCCTCATTCCTTTAAAATTTTTTTCCTAAGTATATGAAGGAGATTAAAAAATTTTAAATCATGATATCTTAAGGTAAGGACTCAATTTGTTTAAAATCACATCTACAACAGGGTCCCGAATTTTTGGTCTACCTCTGTTAGTAGGGCAACAAGCTTGTCAGATACTTGATTTGCCAGTTCTTAAGTCTTTATAATCCTGTCATCTTTTTGAGAAGGGATCCCGCTACATTGCAAGGCTGGTATCAGACTCCTGGGCTCACGCAATCCTCCAAGCTCAGCCTCTCAAGTTACCAGGACCACAGGTGCATGCCACAATGCCCAGTCTTGTCATCGCTTACAAACATAAAGCTTGCATTTTCTTTCATGTCATCACTGGGCATACAAGTCCATACTTTAGAGAGACACTACTCTGGATCAGTCCATGGATCACACCCCTCAACTGTTTTATCAACTTTCTGTGGCTTGGGTCTCATGAGAGAAATAAGATATTTTTATCTGATAAGATTGGGTGTGGAGAATGAGCTGAAAGAATGCTAACATACAAAAATACATAAAAATGCTAGTTCTTTGAAACCCATCATCAGGGTTTCATTAATAAAACAAAACAATTCTAGAAAGGAATGGAGGGGTGGGGCAAGGGAACAACTAGTGCCCAACACCTAGCTGTGGGCTCTCTTCATACAGCATATCACTCTGCTCATCTGGCAGCATCTGGCTTTGCCTTTGTGGAAGAGCTGCTTCAGTAGAAGAGAATCCTAAGTCTCACAATGTGAGAAAGATTAGATTTCTTCCCTAGGTAACAAAGTACCTGACTAGATTTCTCAATACAGGAGTCATAATATGGACAACAAAAGGTCAGTTATCATAGGGCTAATATAAGAGAGTTTTGTTTTCTAGTCTTTGTTATATGAAAAGGATTAAAATCTCTCTTTCTTGTGCACTATTTTCTCATCCCCCATGAATAAAATTGGAAACTCAGATGAGCAGTCAGAGGAAAGCCCATTCTGTAACTGTTACAATTTTGCCACCAAAATGACAGAATAAGAGTGCTAAGGAGATGCTTACTTTACCAGCAACTAGGAATGAGTGGATACCATAAATCCTTCTTTTCCCCCCAAACTTACTGTCTGTTCTCTAAGTTTATCATACAGAAACTCCAAGCGTTTGCTGGCATCATCTAGCTTTCTCTTGGTTTGCTGCAGGGAAGGAAAAAATAGATGTTATATTGGAACATTTTATTCACAGAACTTATCCTATTTCACCTCACTAAACCTTACACTCAAGACACTGAACAGCTTCTTTTTATCAAAGAAATGGAGACAACTAGGACTGAGAAATGCTTAGAATGAGCATCAGTAATCTCTCAGGGCAGGGCGGTAGGGCACGGAGAAGACGGAATTTCCTTCCAGCACGCAGAACAGGGTACTGACTGGACTTCTTGTGGCCAGGTGCATGTGAAATTTCTTCACAAGGTGTGTTTGAAACTGTGCTACAGTCACAGGACTCTGGAGGCATCCATGGGTCAATGTCCTCCAGAACAGACCAGTAACAAAGGATTATGGGTTAGAGGAGGCAAATGGGGGGAACTGTGGAAACTTGTTTAACTGTTCAAAAATAGTACTTGTACACTTGGTCTCACTTGGTATGCTCAATCCTGCCTCTTTTTGTGCTTTTATAGCACCGAGCAAGGAAAAGACAACTATATTCTAGCAACTTAAAATTACTGAAGGAAATGGGAATTTTTTGCTTTCCTATCCCACTACTGTAAATATAGTGAAACTATTTTATAACTAAAAATATCACTTTACAAAGTACAATGTGATTAATAATCTCCATTACAAAATAGTAATGCTGCTTTTTAATATTTATTGAATATCGATGACAGGTCTACCAGGTGGGAAAAGACACTGAAGACAGTACACTGTATGTCAGATGGTGTAAGTGCCATGAAGACACATTAACGGGGCTAGGGGCCAGCAGCACTGAGAGGAGAAGGAAGGCCTGATGGCTAATGGACATTGGAGTAGCAGCCTCCACATGTGGGAGTGAGCAAAGGCAGACCTGAGGGAAGGTCTCTGGGCAGAAGGAGCAGGAATACAGAGCCCTTGACGTTGCCATGCTCTGGGGGAGTAGAGGAATGAATGCCTGTGGGTCTGGAGAAGACAGAGAAGCTACCAAACATATCACATGCTAGGTTGTGCCACAAAATCACTTTGTGCTATCTGAACACAATTATAATTAAAATAAGAGTATCTAATGCTATGAAAATTATTCCAACTACTGATTAACATGAACTTTTACATAAGGGAATCCCTATAGCTCAGCTCCAAATGGAAGCCTTACCCCAGGGTCAGGGGACAGCGGGGCAGATTAGTGGAACTTCTCTCCCAGACTATTACAGGAAGCGCTTGTCATCTATAGCTCCAGTCTGCTCTGGGGTCCTGGGTACCCACCCAGAAGGGAGATGAGATGATGACCCAGAGGAGGTACAACTCAAATTGATGGTACTGGGCCATGCATTGTGTCCTCTGAACCTCCCTATAGTACCTCGTACCAGAGGGATAATTGGAGTTTTGCCACATTCTCATTAGGGTGCCTCCATTCCCAAATGACTATAACCAATCCACTTAGGGGACAGTGCGTATCTGTTTATCACTTCATCTGCTCTCCTGTTTCCAGCCTTCTCACCCATCCCAGAAGGTCAGCACTAAGGTTTCTGTCAAACCCTTGCTCTCTTGACACTTTCAGTAAAAGGAAATGCTTTCTCCAATGCTAGCAGAAGGCTGCATATATTAATATTCAATGGCAGACAAAACAGCAAATCCCAGAAGCTGTCTTTTCCAAGTAGACAAGTGGCCAATGACTTAAAAATAAATATATTTGGTATTTGTTGGAAAAAAAATGAAGTTTCATTTAAAACAAGATTGGTTTTGTGGACTTTTTGTCATTGCCAATACAAATAAAAATCAGATGCTTTAACTATGAATAAGACTCTAGTTAGTATTAAACTATCTTTAAGATTTTTACAAAGTTAAAGATGATCTATCTAGCTTCAAAAGCTTCAACTGTAAATTCGGAAAGAACCCCCAAACTGGAGTTTCCTGCAGACTACTGTTATATTTTATTCATGTGCCAAACAGGAGGCCTATAGCAATCTGGAGCCAGACTGTCTGAGCTGAAATGCTGGCTCTGACCTCAGGTAAGAAGACTTAACTGTTTTTTTGCCTTAAATTCCTCATCTGTAAAATAAAGAGGACAAACCTACCTATCTTGGGAGTTACTATTAAGTATGTTTAAACATAAGAAACAAAGTATATGTTTCTTTGTAGTTAAGTGCTAGCACTGTTTTGTACAGTTTTTCAATAATCATATCTTGTAGGACTTCAAGCAATAATCATAGATGAGCTCCATAAACAATTATTTTGATTAAGCAAAATATGAGGAAAATACATACAGGATCTGTGGCTGAAGAGAGGCAGCGCTGGATAAGATCCTCAAATGTGGTCTTCAGAATGAGATGCTCATCTGGAATAGGTTTCTTGGTAATTTTTTCTGTTGGCAAAGACTGCACATGCTGCAAGAAATAATAACAAATGATCAGAAGGTATCTTACACACAAAGTTCTGAATCTATGCAATGAAGAGAAACCAGCAACCTTGTACAGACCTATTCAAAATCATATGACAATTTTACATGTAAAATAATCCAGGTAAAGTAAAGCTGAAAACCAAATGATCAGGAAAAGGTAAAGCCCCACAGGTTGGATTTTTCTAAATAAGAGTGGACAAGAAGTAACTGATCTATTAGGGGATGTATACTGGCCATTACTAAATGCAACTGTGGGAAGTAAGCCAGCAAGAAACAGAAGCAAGGCCCTGGAGAACACAGTTGGCTGTTTAGAGTGGCTGCTTGCTGCTTGTTCGCTTATTTCTGTTTATCCTGGCATTCTATGTTTTATTCTTAGAGGCTGTTAACTAGGCTATTATGTAAACTGAAAGATTAAGCCAAAGTTTCAGAGTAGAAAAAATGTTGCTGAATTATATACAGATGGAACAACAAAAAGAAACATTTAAGTTTTCTAAAGTTCTACTTATTATTCTTTCACTCATTCAAAAAATGGCTGGCTGGGAGCTGGGGATTTAGCTCAGTGGTCCTGCCGCCTGCCTCACAAGAGCAAGGATCAGAATTTAATCCCTGGTACCAAAACAAATAAACAAACAAACAAACAAAAAATAGCTGGCTGGGAGTGGTGGCACATGCCTATAATTGAGGCAGGGAGGGTTGAATATTTGAGGCCAGCCTGGGTAACTTAGCAAGATCGTCTCAAAATTTAAAAAGTACTAAACAGTTAGATGGGAAAGGAAAAGCATTCCATACAGAAGGCTCATGATGTAAGGGGACAAAAAGAAGCCCAATGTCATTAGAGCAGAGAAAGAAAAACGAGTAGGAGCTGAGGCAGTCATAAATAGTTTGGTCTTTATCCCAAGAATAATGGAAAGCTGTGATATTCTAAGCAAAGAAGAGACAAGACCAAATTAGCTATCAATCAAGGCACATGATGGCAGAATCATCAGGAGGCTCCTGCATTAGTGAAATTGAACAAAAGTAGCACAGACCAGAACAGAAATACAGAGAAGGGATTCAAGAAATACTTTAGTATCAACAAGGTCTGAAGGATTTTTTTATATGGGTTCAACTTTGTGACTTGCCATGATCATAATGAGTAGAGAAATTGTCCTGGGTCACATATAAAGTATATAATACAGTTAATACACATAAGTAACAAATTTTCCTTTATTTTTTAATATTTGTATTATAACTTTAAAAAAAAAAAAAAAAGAAGATAAGCAGCCTGTAGGTTGGACACACCTTTACCAGTTAAAGAGAAGAGAGTATAAAAATGATTCCACAGTTTTTTCTGGATTCCACAAAAAAGATGATAGCGTCATTTACCAAGAAAGACTGGGTGTGGGAGAAAGAGTCTGAGGAGAGTTTTGCACACCACGAGGCTGAGCAGCCTCTGAGATCCCCAGGAGGCAGGCAGCAGGTGGTGAGCACCAAGTGTTTCCTCCTTTTAGTGCTAACTGGCTCTAGACTAGATGAGGACAGGCTCAGAGCCCAGGTCCAAAACCCAGTGATGGCTGGGGAGTGTCTTCATATAACAAAAGCTTATAAACCATAAAAAACAAAGGGAGGACAGGGACAAGGGGAAAAAATGAGAATCAAGACCTATTATGTAAAGGTACAGGATCCCAATGATGAATGTAACTGTATTGTATACCTAGATTGTACCAACAAACTCAATAAAAAGGGAAAAGAAAGAAAGAAAAAAACCAAAAGTTTTTATAATTTATGCTTTTGTGAAAAGATGCAAGTCTTCTCACCTTAACATATTTGTTTTTATAATATATTAAAAATCTTAGGCATAACTATGTTTTAACAGTAAATCATACTATGGTGATAAGATATATAAGATATATAGATATGTAGATATATAGATATAAATAAGCTTTACTAATTTAACACAAAACAAGTCAAAGAACTAAGTGTAGTAGTGCACGCCTCCAATCCCTGCACTTGGGAGGCAAAGGCAGGACGATCACCTCAATTTGAGGCCATCCTGGGCCACATAGTTTAAGGCCAGCCTAAACTACTTAGTGAGACCCTGACTCAGAAAGCTAAATAAAATAAGTCAAAGACACAATATAAAGTTAGTTGTTTTACTTGTGCAGAAATTTCATATTCTCTCTCTCTCTTTTTTTTTTTTTTGGTGCTCAGGACTGAACGCAGTGCCTCGCGCTTGCTTGGTAAGTGCTCTACCACTGAGCTACATCTAAGCCTTTTTTGAACTTTTATTTTGAGACAGGGTCTCACTAAGTTGTCCATGCTCCTTCCAATGCTTGTAACACTCCTGTATCAGCCTCCTGAGCAGATGGGAGTAGAGGCACGCACCACAGCTCCTGGCAGAATTTATTTCATATTCTTGATGTTGAACTTTGATCCACGTACTTCACTTTCTAGGAACAGATAAACAAAAAATATTTTTTGGTACTGGGGACTGAACCCAGGGCCTTGTACACACAGCACTCTACCACTGAGTAAATGTAAGCTCAGATGTTTTCTCTTTACTTTGAGACAGGGTTCTCTAAACTGCCTTGGTTGGCATTAAGCTTCTGATCTTCCTGTCTTAGCCTCGCAAGTATCTGGGATACAAGCATGCAGCACCACACCTGGAAAAATATCTTCATAGATCTAAGCCAATTATTTGAAAATGTCAATTCTTTAACATCTAAGACTTTTTTGTCAACTAGCTGTTTATGTGAAATGCAAGCGAAAATGTTTATCTCCATCTAAAGATAAGGCTGTTATTAGCTTTTATACCTATATCAAATATAACTGATTACATCTTTAATAGTCTAAAGAGAAAAACCTTTGAAAACAGCATTTGCTTAGCAACCTCAGAAAGTGTTTCAACCAATCTTAAAATTGTGACTGACTAAATCAAGTAAAATACTGCATTTGCCAAGGAATAATAAACATTCACTCTCAAATATGTAACTCTCTTCCAGAGTTTGTATATGGTCATGTAATTACAAAATAATATGTATGTACAATCTTTAAAAAGGGGGTTACCACTTTTAGTTTAGGTTGTCTACATTGAAACCAAATTCAGATATTCATTAATAATGGTATAATCATAAAAGTTAACACATTAAAGCAAATGCACTGTCTTCCCATTCCATGTTACCTGGATAGTATTTCCAATCGGAGCCCCTGGGGCACCCTCAATGTTGGGCTTTGGGAAAGAGGTGGGCACGCTGGTCTGGCCAAGTGGCTGCTGCAGGCCGTGGAAAGGCTGGCCACCCAGGGGATGTGGCTGTGGATAGGGAGCTTGGTTTGACAGTGGCCCTGGAGCTGGAGGTTGCTGCTGTAGCATCTGTGACTGGGGGTCACTCAGCGGGTTCATAATTGGAGACGTGATGGGAACAGGAGGCATGAAGTTTTCAGGCATCTTTAAAAACGAGAAAAGAGAAGACACAGAACAAAACGAAAAAGAACATGGGAAGGTGTGGTGGTGCATGACTAGAATCCCAGCACTTGGGAGGCTGAGGCAGGAAGATTACCATGAGTTTGGGGCCAGCCTAGGATAGACAAGAGTTCAAGGACAGCCTAAACTACACATCAAGACTCTTGTCTCCAAAAACAAGAAAGACAGCAGTGGGCCACAAATTTAGCTTAATGGTACTGCCGCCTTGGCAAGGTCCTGAGTTTGATCCCTGGTACCAAAAAAAAAAAAAAAAAAAAAAAAAAAAAAAAAGAAAGACAGCAGCAACATTTCCTCAGATTTAAATAAGGGAGCTACACTATTTCATGATTTAAAAAAATTTTTAATAGTAGTTAAGATTCTTTTTTGCAAATGAAACTTTATGTAGAGTTCTACAGTGAAACATAAAAGTAAAGCTCAGTTGGCTAAAGAGTGTAAAGAACTCAAACCTGGACCTCTTCTCCCCTTGTTACTCCTGGTAAAAAAGGGCAGCTAAAACCATAGCATTTTTTTTGGTACTGGGAATTGAACTCAGGACCTTGCACTTGCCAGGAAACCATAGCATTTCTGAAAGAAGAGGACAACTCTGGAGAACTATATCTAGCAATATGGGAATCAAGATATGCTGGTGTTTAATGTTATTAGAATAGGGTTTTTTAGTTTTTTGGATGGGACTGGAGATTGAAAGCAAGGGCTGCACACTGAGATACAACCCAGTCCTTTATTTTTTATTGTGAGACAGAGAGTCGTACTTAGATGCCCAGGCTTGGCTCAAACTTGTGTTCCTGCTTCAGCTTCCCAAATGCTGGGATTACAGGTGTGCGCCACCATGCTCAGCTCATCATAATGTAACTTAATACCCTTTCCCTAGGTCACTAGGTAGATACTACATGGCAATTCTATGACACTAAACGTGGAGCTTAAGTTTATGACTATTACACTAAGCTGTATTTTGGGTTTCCCTGCTCATTTAATGTCTCCCAACTGTACATTATGGCTTCTCATTATTATATGCAGGGGAAAGGAGTCACTAGGAATAAAAAGTAGAAATGGTTTGCAAAAAAAGAATGAAAGGAAAATCTTATTTTGTGCACAAATAGCTTTCAACAATTACCAATATACAAAACAATGCTCAACTATAAGACTATTTCTTCATTATTTTATGTAATGGACAAAAATTCCAAGTGTGTGTGTGTATAAAGTCATAATTATTGCTGGAACCCAAAGACCAAAGCAACACCTTAAAAAAATTTGTAAGGCGTGAAATTTCATTTCCTGCTTTTTGAAAGAGGCCTGCTAGGTACTTACATCTTGTATTCTATTACATTTTTTTTGGTACTTGGGATTGAACTCAGGACCAGTGCCACTAAGCTAAATCCCTAGCCCCCAACATCTTTTCTGCCAAAAAGGCTTTAATTTATAGAGCAAAGTTTTGGAGCTACTGTTTTCTACTTTCTTTCTTGCATGGATTAGAAGACACAGGATGAAATACATTCTGAACCCATCAATCAGTAAGCTTTGCTTCTGAAAAGGATCAGTGAAATGTGGTCTGCTTGGGTGGCTCCGTGACCCCGTAAGACCTGAAGGCCACGGTTAGGCATCTTGCTCTAGTACCTTCTTCTTCTTGGGCACTCTGTTCAAAGCAGGGGGGTCATTCCAACCATTCTGAGAACCTGGAAAAGGTAACACAAGATATTTTCCTTTAGAATATTTAAAAGAAGAAACTGAGTGAACTCATCTAACACTTTCAATTTGGCCTTAACTGAATAACTGTCACATAGGTTTTACCAACTGAGTTGTGGGGTTCACTGAGTTGTGGAGAACCTTCGATCCTCAAACTCACACCTTTGATAGGCCTGGGATTAGTAGGCAAGGTATTTTGATATTACCTATATTTAAAGGGGAAAAGCTGCGCTAAACTGAAAAACCATGAAGTCTTTACATCTACACTAGAGCACAACCTATGTTTACTGTTTTTTCCTAAAGAAGAAAAAGTAAATCACCAGAGTCTGCTAAAAAAAAGTCATCTGATATGCCCAACATCCCAAAAAAGAACAAAGGTAGCAATTTCTTCCTTGCCAAAAGAGTAATTCAACTCAAATGAATCATCTACAAATACTCTAAATATAGTAGAAATACTATTTTAAAAAGCCCAACTACCTATATGACACTAGTAATTTTCATCATCTCTGTCTTAGGAACTACTTATAAAGTAGAAAAAGGCATTCAAATATTCTTTCAGACATTATATAGCATGGTTCCTCCCAAACATACAGAGAACTCTATTTTCTCAAAGTGAAAAATGGACACCAGTAGCAGAATTCATTAACTGTTTTAATACTAATACCTTCAAAGAAAAAAGAAATCAGGCATTCTGGAAATAGGATACTTTAAAAACTAAAATATAATAATTATGCATGTCTCTAAGTGTGAGTTTTGGTTACGTCTATAAGGAACCATAGTTGCTATAAAAAACCTTCAGTTTATATGTGTACACATAGATTAAAAAGATGTACACCACTTCTAATAAATTTTCTTTCAATATTTCACTTTTACTTAACTGATATGTTTGATACTAAGTCACAACAAATTGCGGAGCAACCAAAGTAACTGTGGTACATGAGTAATGTCAAAAAAACTTTTAAAACTGCAGATCTAACCATGTACTCATTTGCTTTGATTTTGAACAGAGAATTAATTTCTTACATGTTTACTAGGAGACAGAATGCCAAGTAAGGCTCAAAATGAAACACACAATACTAAATCATGTGCTGTTATCTGCTTAAAATTTCAACTGCCGGTTACATACAGGTTAATCATTTGAATCGCTCCCATCACCACCAATTTTAACTGTATTGAAAACAATCTTGGTATAGTTATGTTGATATAAAATAAACAGCTTTTATGATTTAAAGCTATTTGGCATGTAAATCCAATCAATTGTAAAATTTGACTCAATTAAGATGCCAAATGATAAAAGACACAGATCAGATTTAGGACATCAGCATCTTTGCAGATCACATGCATTATTGTTAATGTCCATTCATTAATTGTATTTAGTTGATTCAAAGATTTTCAAAGGTATATTTTACAGCCAATTCACCTTCAAACATAGGTGTCTGGTCTTGGACAGACAGATTTTCTGTAGACAAAATGTAGTAGTCATTTCCATAGTATTACTAAAGACATTCTTTGTTTTGGGGGGATTTTTTGTACCAGGGATCGAACTGAGGACCTTGTGCTTGTGTACTGAAGACATTCTTTACTCTATTTATTATAATTACTTCTCCCTCTACCAAACCTCCACGAAAAGCAAATTTCAAAAAGACAGAAAACTTACTTTTTTTTTTTTAAAGACAAGATCTTACTCCATAGCCCAGCCTGACCCTGAACTTGAAATTGTCCTGCCTCGGCCTCCTGAGTGATGGGATTTTTGCAGGTGTGTGCCACAGAGCCCAGCTACAAATTTCACTTCTTAAAACAAGTCGTATAAAATGTCTTCTATTCAATTAAGAAAGTAAGCTTTTGTGGGCCAGGGAATTAGTTCAGTGGTTCTGCCGCCAGCCTAGCAAGCACAAGGTCCAGAGTTCAATCCCAGGTACCCTCCTCCACAAAAAAGTAAGCTTTTCGTCAAAGTGAATTCATTTAGGTCAGATCAAATTAACTCTCAACTATTATCACCTTTTTCTGTTACTGTGCTATTTTGAGAGTAAATTCTATCCCTTTATTTAAAATAATGGTTATTTTCTCAATCATTTGCCTGTCTCCCTCTTTTTTTTTGGTACTAGAGATCAAACCTAGAGCTTTGCCTACGTGAGGCAAGTGGTCTGCCACTGAGCTACATCATCAGACTTAAAAATTTTTATTCTGAAACAGGATCTTGCTAAATTGCCCAGGCTGGCCTTGAATTGTGATCCTTCTGCCTCAGACTCTTGAGTAGCTGGGATTACAGGTGTACACATCATCATGCCAGGCTATTCTGATACTTGACAAATGATCTTCAGCAACACCACTGAGGACAGCACTTCCCAACATATTATACCACATAACCGAAAGGTTATTCAAAGCTATGATCCACATCAGGTGAGAAGAACTCCAGCTACTTAAATTTGGATTCTAATTCATTAGGTAAAATGGCAGGGCTTGAGGTCCAGTCTCTCTAGCCACCTGCCCTGGGACATGGACGCTGCTGGTATCACAGCAGTAGGGATTTAAAGAGAAACAGGGAAGGTCTACATGGTTCTGCAGACTCCAGCACTGTGTTTGATAAACACCTACATGGTGACACCACTGGCACAGTGTGCTATTCGTTGCTGCAGGTTTGGAAGGTGCTAGTGGTCAGCATTCTGAAGCAAATGTAATTTCTGGGGTGGGTCAAACCATGAATATGAATATAAATAACAGGCCCAGAGAATGTGTAACCATCCATATGATCCTGTGAGGGGCACATGAATTTGGAGACCACTTAGTGCAAGCCTCCCAGATCACTGTTTCTTTTGCTAGAACTAGTGTTCCGACCAATGGAGAAGAGGTAAACAGGCCAGAACACAGCGACTCCAAACAAACCCGAGGGTTCAAGTCAGGACCAATCTCAAATTAAAAGCACACAGAACTTACAATTCGATCATCTTCACGTGGTGAGGTAGGAACCTCCAAGAGAATGCACCAATTAAAACAGTGAATTCAACTCAGTTTGCACTCAAGAAACTGAAGCTGACAGTGGCTGTGCACACCTTTAATGCCAGCACTCTTGGAGGCTGAGGCAGGAGCACAAGTTTGAGCCCAGTCAGGGTGATTTAGTGAGATCCTACTTTAAAATTAAAAATAGGGCCTAGGATTTAGCTCAGTGGTTCTGCCACCTGCCTTGCAAGCTCAAGAACACGAGTTTGATGCCCGGTACAAAAAAAAAAAAAAAAAAAAAAAAACAAAAAAAAAA